TGTCAGACCGCCCGCTGTTCTTGGAAACTAAGGTCCGCCTGTGCAGCACCCGCTAAGCCGGAATTAACGTAACTGACGGCCACGTCAGGAAGTGAAGGGCAGCAACGGGCCTGCGTCCGAGGGCTTGCCTGGCCCCGGGGACATCTTCACCCATTGTCCCCGGGCAGTCCCCTCCCTAGTCGGACTCTGAGCCCAGGTTCTCTGCGTGAGCCCTCCGCTCCACAGGGCCTCGGCTCTGCCCCATCCCTGCTCATGTCTGTTCTGCTTAAATCACCTCTCTTCCCCCAGTGGGATGTGCCCCACTCTTCGCTGCCGCTGTCACATTGCATGTCTTCTTTCTCCTGGAGAGATGGGGAGCTGAGGACAGAGATCATGTTCACGGCACTCTCACTGTCTCAGCACCCACAGCTCTGAGAACAGCAGGGTAGCACCCAGGATAATGGTTTTCCAGAGCTTTTTGCTGACAGTTTCAGGGTGGAAAGAGCCCTCAAGTGTACTCCTCTGACTCCCCTACTGATTCACTATGAAAGATTTATTTAATCTACAGCACTGTTTATATGCCTCTTAGAGAGATGATAAAGTTTTACCTCCTCCATTCACAGACTGGTGGCGAGGTTCCCGTGGGCTAAAGCGAGAGTTCACTGCACAATACAGAAGCTTCCCGTGTGCGAGCGCTGTGCCTGGTCAGACACACTCACTGAAATCTTTACCTGTTCTCTGTGCACCCTCTGCCTGGAGCTTCTGATAAACGAAAGTCCAGCCTTAGCCTCAGACCCACACCTACCCAGTCCTGCACCATGGGATCTTCAACCCCACCATCAACCCACTCCACCATCAACCAACCCTGCTATCAACCAGTTCACCCATTAACTAATCTTGCCATTGACCACCAACCAACCTTACCATAAATCAACCATACCATCAACATACCTTACCATCAACCAACTCCACCATCAACCAACCTTATCATAAGCCTACCTTACCATTGGTCAACCTCACCATCAACCAACTCAACCATTAACCGACCTTACCATCAACCAACCCCATCATCAACCAGCTCTACCATTGACCAACCCCACTATCAGCCAAACCCACCATCAACCAACTCTTCATCACCACTTCTACCAGCCCCAACCAAAGCCAGCCTTATGCCAGGCACAACACTAAGAAGAGTGAGCTATGGCCCCTCTCCTGAGCCGAGCTAACACCCCAGTGGGGCAGTCTTGAAATGTTCATACAGAACATAAGGCATCGGAAGGTCATCTTTTCCGTGACCCGTGAATTACAAAGTGAGCCCGTGAGCTGAACATGAGAGGTGATTAAAAGGTCCTTTGAAAACCCTGAAGACTGCTCATAAACTGGAGTGTCCTCGGTCTGGGCGGGCAACCCAGACGGCCTGGGCTCCCATCTGCAGCAGGCAGGTATTGAGCACCCACTGTGTGCCAAGCATGGGGCTCACGTGGCAACGGGGAAAGCAGATGCTGAGCAAGGACAGAAACAGATAAACATGAATAACTAAGGCCGAGAGTTCTGGGAGTGACGAGGCTGTGGTGGAAGGAGCGGGGGCTGCGGTGGCGGTGGTAAGTGGAAGACGGGGAGGGGCCCGGATCTGAGAGTCCTTCTGGGTCCCCCTCCCCTCTGAGCCCCCCTCCCCAAGTCCTCCTGCTTCCTCTGCTGACACATATCCATGCGTCTCCCGTTTTCCCCACTTCTGTAGCCTCTGCCTTAACCCCACCCCCTCCACCCCCGGGCCTCCTCGCTGCTCCCCTTGCACCCCGTTTCCACCAAGCCTCCACCTGGCAGGCGTGACTCCCAGATCACCTTCCCCGAGGGAGCCCTTGAACCTGGAAAGGAACCCACCTCCCTTCCCAGGGGTGCCGTGCAGTGGGTGCTCCTCGGGTGAGTGGCATGCGTGTGCGGGGACCCCGGAGGAAGGGACTGCTTCCCGGGGGTGAGCTGAGCCCTCCACCGGCACTAGCTGCTGGCCTGGCCTGTCTGCTACACTCGCAGGACCACAGACACAGCTCAGAGGGAGGGGACTGCCCAGCCCCAGGGCCGCTGTGTAATTAAGCTGCCACTTCACACCCGTCCTTCCAGGCAGTCAAAACCAGGGCAGGTAGCTTTCGGCAGCTACACTCGCCAGGTGACTGCTGGGCGGGTCCTATAGCCACTGGCCCAGAGGGGACACCGGCCCCGAGAGACGGGGTCCTGCCTCCACAGGACCCCCACTGCAGCTCCGGCCTCGGGAAGGCGTGGTGTGCCCCAGCCATACCCTTCCTGTCCCGCCAGTGGCTAGATTTAGAAATGCCCAGAAAAGCCTGGAGTTTGCTTCAGGACATGGATTCCTCTGAGTCAGAGACCACAAACGCCAATGCCTCCAGAGAGGCGGCTCATATAAATTCAAGAGGCCAGCGGGAGCCTGCATACATAATAAACAAGCGGGTCTCTTCTTCCAAAAAGAATTATCTTTATCTTCTTTTCCTTTTTCAAAAGTTCCTCTTGGCGGATGTCACTTTCCTACCCTAGAAAAGAACAAGGAACATGGCACTATCTTCCTAAACACAGAACAGCAGTGGGAAGGTGAGTGGCAGCCGGCCCCTAGCCTGTGGGAGGCGGTAGGGAGTGGTGGGGACTGGGGCGAGCTGCAGTGCATGCGCCCGTCTGCAGGGGGCAGGGCGGCTCGGTCAGGAGTGGGACTCCGTGCGGCCAGAGCTGCTGCTGCGGCTTTTGTAAGAAAACCAGACATCCAAAATTTTAGGTAACGTATCTGCATTTTGAAATATTGACAAATGGGCTAAGTGGCACAAGTCCACTGGCCAAAGTCAGCCTCCAGACCACGGGCTGTGCCTCTGGCTTAGGGAACTGCTCCTGGCCTGTGGCTGCCCGGCCC